TGAAAAATGGTCCTTTGTTCTCAGTTGGCCTCCAAGAAAGGCTAAAGATAAGACCATCTTGATGTATTGTGAAACTCTCTAGGACAAATGTACAGTAACAGGAAATGATGAACACAACAAACCAATGTTGTCCTTCCTTTGCTATTATTTGGCTATCCTTAAGGCTGTAGGTAATGATTCAAATTGTCACACTTATAAAAACCATTCAGTGACATTTCCTTCCTTTCTTGATGACATTTGACCTCCATGTATTCTTTAAATGTGCCCCCTATCTTAAGGTATCTACAAATGCCTCTATTAGCCTTTCAGTCACGTGTAATTATAAGGGTAAAACATTTTCAGGCTTAATGAATTCACTTTCAAAAACCCATATATTTCAAACACTTTTAGTTGCTCACCAATAGTTCAATGTGATACACATGTTATATCTACTTTATTTTGGAGTTCAATATACAGTATTTGGCATTCAACACATTTGCTGTTTTTAAAGTTAGCAGCAGAAGTTTGTGGAGAAGCTACAAAGCTTGAATGAATTCCTTCAGGGAAGTTGAGTTTTCACTTGCAGCTCCTCCACAGGTGGTAGGTCGCAGCGCAGGGTCACTCACTGAACAACATCCCTGGAGCTGGTTGGCATTCAGTGTATTTTTCTAATATAAAATAAAGGAGAATGCAAAATAATATATTATTTTAATTGCCCTTCTTCAACAAACGTCCCATTTCTGCTTTCATTATCTTATCCATTCCCTGATTGTATCAATTCTGACCTCATGCATTTTCATCGTGTCGGACTCTTTCCCTATGTGGCACTGATGAATGAATCAAAGATAGCATTGACGTTTTTGGTATCCTCTGTTTCTTCTCCCCAAAGGCCTGTCTGTTTGACCTGTCAATTATCACATGTAAAGGACACAAAGCTTTTGAATGCTTTCCCCCTGTTCCCTTGTCTCTTCTGTTTTTCCAAACCATTTAACCTTAAACCCTGGTCTCTGTTGTTATGTCTCTCCCTGACTGGCAAGCTTTCTTTCATATGTATTTCTCAGTTTTCCTTTCCATCTCTGGTTCTTCTGTTCTAAAGGAAGACTTAAATTCCATAACTGTTTTTGTATGTTTCATCATCTAGATTCTATAGTATGTAGATAGTTTGTTCCTATTGCATGGTTTGAAGAAAATGATGAAGGCACAATTATTTGCCATATGCAACAACAGGAATCTGTAACTATTGTTTACTGGTGTAGACCAATTTGCATGAAAAGAATGTATTGACACATTTTGTAATCAACCTTCAGCCCTTTCAATGTTTAAACTTGCAGCAAAGAAACAAGTCTACAGGTTTTTTTTGTGTTGTGGACATTCAGTTTAAGCCTTACAAACATCTCTATATACTGAGATATAACGTATTTATAAATCATACTAATCAACTATGCTATGTTTCTTTATTTCTTCTTTCTCTTTGGATTTTTTTGTGAATGTTTCTCAAAGTTCCCATTTTTCAGTTAATAAAGTCCAGACCTGACAAAGTACTCACCCAAACGTGTATTTTTACTCCCCAGCTGACAAGTAAACTTTGTTATTGGAATTGACACTTTAGAACTCAGAGAAATATTCAGTGGGAGCGCAAAGTCTTATGATAGACAGAAATGTTTGTGACAGTATCCACTCGTCTTGATACCTGTCTTCCATTTTTCATCTACTTCTTTCCCCTTACCTCCCTCAGCTGACAGCCGTGGTTTTGTTGATGTGAAGCACTGTCATGCTACAGAGACCCACATTTCTACGCTTGTCTTCTCTTAAGAGAGAGAGATGACGCTCTGAGCTTTGTATCCAAACAAAATAAGACAGAGAATGTTCTGGGACTTTTTAAGCCTCAGGTAATTTGGTTGTTCTCTGCCCGGCAACTCTTGCTGCGTGAACTTTGCATTAGCAAACATGGAGGCAACTGGGGCTTCACCGGTTTCAACAGCACACATCTTTCTCTTCTTTATGTATAGTCCCACTTTTGTTTTGTTTGTTTGACATACTTTTTTATTGAAATGACAGTGAAGGAAAACAAGGGAATCCGTTTTCATGGAGAATTTAGATAGGTGTCAATTTGTGGTGTGAAAACGATGAGATACTTTGTTCCTGTTGTGAATTTTAACATTTACTCCCAAACTGATATGAAAACGCACCAATGACATGGTAATTACTCATATATGTAACTGTATGACATCCCTTTATCCATCAAATTACAATAATTGAATCTAAAAACAGTATAACTCACAACAGCAGATTTCATGTCTGAGATATTGGATATTAACAGAAAGTATTTCTACCTGTTTATTTTACATCGAGCTCTGTTAAACCTCGGAATTAATCATCGAGGATACAGGCACGCATCGCCAAGAGGAATAACGTTCCGGTTAATTTCTCTGCACTGCTTCAAAATAATACTTCCCCTTGTTGGAAATCTTTGTATATGCAAACAGCCCAATAGAAACCAGATCAATTAATTGTTTTTTCTCACAGAAAGAAAGTAACAATGTGTTAAATATTGCCAGAATTGTAAACGTTCAATACATGAAGTATTGGATAACGTCACAGTCAAAGCAGGTGTGACTTCATTCTGTACTTGACTTCACGATGTACATAACTCTTTTTTTATATGTATATGACAAATAGCTGTTTGCTGATATACCGTTGCTCTGAATGCCCTACAGTAGGTTATACATTTAAGAATATCAGGTTATTGACTGCTGATCAGGTTTCTGAAGCTGGAAGTTAAAGGATTACTTCAGAGCATGATGATTCATTTGACAGCTCCTCTTTTCCTTGCAATCCTCCCATCAATACAGTGTCAGGTTTGTGTATCTTTTTGTCTTGAGTCTGAGTAGTTGAACACATTTCGTCATTACAACCATTGATTTCCCCTGCTTTGAAACCAACTCAGCTCTCCCTGATGCTTTCTATTTTACTATTATGTCCTGTCCTTGTTTTGTCTCCCTTCCTTCTGTCTCTTTTCTCATATCTCACCCTCTCTGCTCTACTCTGCTGTCTTACTTTTATATCTCTGTCTCAATACAAGCAATACCTTGCAAAACACATCCTGGTTTACTCCTCGGTCATCCATTAATGTTGCCTGTTGAAGTACTCCAAAATATATGTTATTGCACTGAAATAATTGATCTTGACAAATATATGTTTGTTTTTTCCACCCAACACTTGATTGGGAATTGATGAACAGTAAGATCAATAAGCAGAACCAATAAAGTTGTATCAATTCCTTACATAAGTACAACACAAAACTACTGTAAAGGTTTTTACTCCTTTAGTCCTTTCCTGTGAGAACTGTTCCTCTCAGATGTATCATGCTCTGATTAGCTCATGGCTCATTTTAACTTTTCACTTTAATTGCCGTCTTATCCTTTTTACTTTAGCAGTTGGATGTCCACTGGTGTTCAGTTACTTTCTGCCCGTTTTGTCTGCACGCTGAGTTTTTCGCTCTTTTCCACTGCCCACTTGTTGTCTCAGCTTTAGTCCCGGGTTGCTTGCTGGTTATAATTGCCACTTTAGTTGCCATATTTTTGCCTCTACAGTTCCTATCTTGCTGTGTCCCCTGCCTATTTTGATTTCAGCTGCAAAGCCATAACAATATCCCTTGTTTGCTAGTTTGCTCGATACTGGTGTTCACACTAGTTTTTTATACTGACTCTGCTCTTTGCCCTTATAGCTTTCTCCCCCGTACTGGCTATTATCTCTTGTTTTGCCAGAAGAACTTTCCACAAGCTTTTTACTGACCGCCCTATTTTCCTCTTTGTGTCCGTTATCAATCTTTATGGTATTGTTCTTACTCTAAAGCCATGTCTCCCCATCTCCCTGCTAGCTTCTGCAAAAGCTTTCGTTACTTTTGCCCTCCTGGGTTTTCTTTAAATCTCTTGCCGTCCTTTAATGGCCTCTGGTCCACCAAAATCCTGCTCACTGGATTTCACATTTTTACATCCTCTCGGTCCCGTTTGCCTTTAAGCTGTCATTCTTACTTACTGTCTTTACATGTCTCTAGTGGCAGGAAGTAAAAAGCCCAAGTTAGATGTGTGAGAGATTGTTGCTTGGGTCCTTGTCTCACTGCTGAACCTGAAATAAACTACTGAGATATTTTTCTCAAATCATTTACCATGGCTGCTCCCAAGTCCCCACTAACTTTACCTAAAACTATCTCCTTTCCCTTCTCTTTTTCCTTTCACATTTCTTCTCCCTCTTATTCTGTCATCCTCTCTCTTCCCCTCACTGTGCCTCTCTCATGTTGTTTATCATTACTTTTACCAGTCTTCTGTTTCTCTCATTTCCCTCTCCTCTTTATTTCTAGTTTTTGAGCTTAACCCTCTCCAACATTTCGTCCCTTATACTTATTTGTTATTAATTCTTCCTTTACTTTGTCATGCTTTTCAACAATAGTCTTAATGTCTCTTTTTCTCCCTGCTATGTGTTCTATTTGGCCCTTTTCTTTGTCTCCCGTATTTTCATCCGAGTTGATTTGCCGCTTCTCATTGACTATTTTTCTCTGCAGTCCTCTCTCTCTGTGCTCCCCTGCAGTCCTATCAGTTGGGTGCAGCTTTTTTAACCTCACACTTCATACAGAGCTGCATTCAAAACACCCGGGAAAAAAATGAATAATATGAGATAAGTGGGAGAAGTGCAAAGGGCCAATTCCACAAAGTTGACATTAAATCCACAGTCACTCTCCGCAGTAGAGTGACCTGGGTTTGTAAACATGCTGCAGATATTATATTATTATCCTCTCCTTCTATTTAGTTACTAAGATATTTACTGTGCACAGATCGGGCTTTGGCCTCTTTAGCTAACATAAGCTGTATCGCCAGAGTATAAGCTTACGTTTTTCCATCAGTGGCTCAGTGAGAATTGAAACTCGTGACTCATTTACCGTTTGAGGCACTCGTCTTTAGCTTGAATATGAGTTGCGACTGATATTACAAGTGATTCAACTGTGCTTTTCCTTTCTTCCGCAGGTCTGGTGGTGAGAGAAGCCAGTATAGAAATTACACGGCAGCAGGTCGAGGAGCTGTTTGGCCCTGAAGATTTCTGGTGTCAGTGTGTGGCCTGGAGCTCCGCTGGAACGACCAAAAGCCGAAAGGCACACGTCCGTATTGCATGTGAGTAAAATACTGCAAGCACGCATGAGAGGTTTGAAGGTACTGTTCACACATGAGGAAGCATGAACAGTATGGATGAAATCATTTTTCATATACTCACCAACATTGATTATGCTTAACAACATAACAGGATTATTTTCAACAAACATAAATGCAAATTCATTGAAGTTGTTTTCCTTCCCTAAAAAGAAAAATAGATATCCAGCTTGAGAAGCACATACACAATCCTTCATGCATACACAGGTGTATCACTTTTGCACTGCTTGGGCCATTTTTGCAATAATTTAAACTAACCAGATGTCTTGTTTTGTAGCTGCCTTTTGAGTGAATGATTTCTGTCAAAGGTTACCTCTTACTAACTGTTTGCCTGTTCAATCATTTAATATGAACCAGCAGCAGTAGGCGGTGATAGACCTACACAGGCAATAGGGTAGTAAACCAGGCTATAAATGAGATACAATTAAAAACAGTAATGCTTAATTAATCCACTGCATCAGGTTCTGTGAATCCCTCAGTAAGTCATTTATGGATTGTAGAAATAAAAATGTGATATGGAGAAGTAATTACAGAACAAATGTAATTAGTAATGCTCTAAAAGATAACAACATATAGCATATTTAACTTTCTCTCGCAGAGGCACATTAGTGTAGTAAGTTCTTCCTTACTACAAGTTTCATATTACAAACTTGACTTAAGGAAGAATTTTTGAAAAATGGTTTCTCTGAATGATTAATGGTGGGGAATGTTCTAAGCATTTTAGCTCAATGACTTTAGTCTACCAGCATTAGCTTCCTGTTATGGTCTGGTGAAAATGTAATTTGACAACTGGGAGTTTCACTATAAGGTCACCAAACGAATACAGGCCAGACAAAGCCCCAGCACGCTCAATATCACTCCAGCAGACTGAGTTACCATTTCTCACTGCATACAGAGGAAATCATTTTAGGATTGTTAGACTCAAACAACAGTGCAGGGGGAAGAACATTTTAAATCCCGCTGTGAGTGATGGTCGCTTGATGGCTCTGCAGCAACCATGTGGCAAGGGAGTAGAGATATTTGATGAAAAATAAAAGATGTTAGTATTTTAATGTAAGCCTCATAAAATAGAATGGTTTGTTTCTTTAAAGCTGATTTCACTGGCCGACTGATTTGAACCCACAAGAGTAGTTTAGCAAGCTTCATTGCACCGGTCAATTCAGCCATGTAAGACAATGGGGACTTGTCTGAGTGTTCGGGTTATAGAAAGGTCAAGCAGAAAATAAATACCAATAACAAAATTGACCCCACCACCCCAGTTTACCTGGCTTACACTGACTGCTTGAGTGTACTCTCAAAAGGACAACTGGGGGCTTTGATGTAGTCCATTCAGCAGACCCTCAGAACAAACTGCTCACATCCCCATATTTAGTACTTTAACAGACGGTATCACTCTAACAGACACGCACCCTGTAAATTGTGTTTTCCCATGTTGGTCTTATTCCGGCTTGGCGGAGAAAATCCATCATTTTGACCATTGTTTTTCATCCAGGCTATTTTATTTGGCTGTAAATATGTCTCACTTTTTTCAGGCTGATTCACTTATTATTTGAAGCACTCACTCAAAAATGCATTTATTTTGTATATTGAAGAAGCTAACGAAAATACACATTTTGCTAAGGTGTTCAATCTTAATAAAACAAAGGAAAAATGCTAAATGTAAAATACAATTATAAAAACAAACTCACACGCTATAAACGTATAAATGGATCACACATTATTTATTGAAGATGTTACACACTGTAGTAGGACTGTTGATATGGTATGTTTCATTATTTAAATATAGTAAATAAACATTTGCACATAAGCAATAGGAAAGTTAGCTAACACAAATTTAAATAATTTACAATACAGCATCCAGTTGTGAGGCAGGACCACTTCAACATATTGTTTCAGTTAATTTGGCCTGTTAGACCATTTGACTTTAGAGCCTCACTACTCCGTGCATTTCCATCGGTATGTGAGGATGTTTTTCTGTCTGTCAGCAGAGAGTTAGTGACACAGTCAGAAATATCCTTCTAAGCTCCTCTAATAACATTCTCGAATGGAATAGGCCCTCCTCGGGGTGCCATGAAAGCTGGGTAATGTGCTGTTTTTGGCTTACGTTGGGGCTGATACACGCTGAGAGACAGATGCAGGCGAGCATACGTATACAGGCTTCTGAGAATCTCTGAGGTAAACACGCAAATATAGCAGCACAGAAAAGCACACATACTGAGAACTGAAGGCAACGTTGTTCATGTGATGTTTGTGTCTTTCTCAGGCTGATATATTCATATATTGTTTACACTATGAAAACTTCTACAAGTCACCTATTTTT